CGACCAGTGACCCATCGCTACGCTCCCTAAGGACGCACTGATTATGTCACCTCGACTGCAATCAAATTGCCCAGCTCAGTGAACAGACTAATGACCACTCCAGTTAGTGTCACTTCATTCGGATGCCGCTTCTGAATGGAACAACTGCTACTGAAAACTTGTTACGTAGTTGTAGCCTCTGTTCACGTACCAATGTTGTGCCGAGAAACAGCTGTTACCGAGCGCCAATCAGCTGATTAATGGCGGAATACTAGCAGTTTTGTGGCATGACTAATGACCACTCCAGTTAGTGTCACTTCATTCGGATGCCGCTTCTGAATGGAACAACTGCTACTGAAAACTTGTTACGTAGTTGTAGCCTCTGTTCACGTACCAATGTTGTGCCGAGAAACAGCTGTTACCGAGCGCCAATCAGCTGATTAATGGCGGAATACTAGCAGTTTTGTGGCATGCTTGTTTGTGGTACTGTGGCCATGTAGTCTTGCTGTCAAACATCCAGAGTAACGATAACGTCACTGATAAAATATCTGGTGTATTGCAACAGCGGGGGGAATAATGTTCGTTGTGGAACCATTCTACTATAATTTAGAGCACGTCCGCCACCTAATTTTACAGATAAGTGGTGTATGCCTCAAGAAGGTAGCAACTAGTTAAAAAAAATATGCGGTCAGTCAGTGTAAAGTGAAACGACCTGGACGTAGTCGCAACGCAGCACTCATTGTCACATTTGGGACATTCACACTTGATTACTTTGACGTGTCAACTCACTGGGGTGGGGGCGCTTCAAATGAGGTTGAAGTCCATCAATGAGTTAGTAATAAAACACATCTGTGGAACTCCTCCAACCCATCAAATCAAGATTTTGGCACCCACACTAGCCAACAAGAGCCGTTAATTGACACTCAACACTGATCTAGTGTTAAGAGGACTTACTGATTGGTTCCCCGTCTGTCTTATAACCTGGCCAATTTGGTGACCTGTTCTCTTGGCCTGATGAAGCTTTTGTGTCAAAAGCGAAACGTTGCCCAAATAAAAACTACCGATTGTTCACCAAGCTCTTCTGAAAACACATCTTTGTTTCAAACTGCATGAAGCGTTTGAAATTTATTCACGGACAGACTTGATAAATCCCCTCTACTCATATGGATTTGATCCGTCTCAAATTCCTTTTCACTGCGGAGAAATCTCAACATTTTGTTTTCTCAAGCGGACTCACCATCGTGGAATGTAGTGAACAGGATGGCTTCTCGCATTGTCTGAAATGTTGTACAGGGATCTACACAGGATATTCACTTGTGCCCGCGCGGCAGGTCACTATCATCCTACACGTAAGCTGAGCTCAATTAATGAATCTTTTTACGCTGAAGTAAGACCAGGCGCTTACACGTATCTCGAACAGGTTAGCACGATCCATATCCCACACGGCTCAATCGTTCTTGTGTGGGTGTTTATACCGTACTCAGAAGTGATGCTGCGTCAAGTCCCTTTGAGACCACACACCGAAATCTGTAACGGTATGGTTCAGTGGAGCTTCCCCAAATAAGCAAATTGTGAAAGGACATTCTGAGGGTTTGTTTGGTGTTTCTGAAGTGTTTCCACCATTTTTCTACGCAACACACTTTCCATCTACGCTAGAAATTCGATGTGCGGAAACTCGAAAATGCACCAAAAGCAGTAGAATAAAACACCTATACCCAGAATGACATATTTCAACTCGAATAGGAATCAGCGGATAAAAATCGTGTGCTTTCGCTCTTTGTCGAGTTGGCTACCAAGCCGAAAAACTTTGTCATTTCAAACGGGTCATTGTCATCATTTTCTGAAAACTTGGAAAAACTCGATGGATTTATTGCTGGGCAACGTTCCGCTTTTGACACAAAAGCTTTGTCATGTCAATCGGCTAGGGGGTTTTGTTTGTTAGGGTGGGTCACCAAGTGTTGAGACTGATGGGGAGCCTACATGAGTTTGGGTCCAGCTCGGGGTTCTTGTTCTTCTGTTTCGCTTCACGTGAAGATTCCTCTTTAACATCGTTTGCACCTTTTGTCCGTCTCTGTGGATGAGCTAGTGCTGCGATAGTTGTGCGAGGGAGGGGGGTTCGCCGAACTTTTGCCGAGTTGGGATCTCTACCCCCTTTTCGCTAATGATTCTACGTGCGTTGACAACCACACACAGTCCCGTGGCAACTCAGCTTATATAAGACCGCTCTGCATACGATTGCCATTTTCGCCTCCTCGATTCTATTCATGCTGTGATGCTTGTTAATCTTCACCGCCTCGGCCGTCAGCCACTATGCTGTGAATCGCAGTCCCCATCTTAAAACGTATACATTCTCTAAATCTGTCGTTTGTCCCGTATCTAACACGTACCGCCATTGCTGTCTTTGACCAGCGTTTCGTATTCTTCCGCACTGCTTGGTGGTTTGTTTATACTTCTCTATGCTCTCCAGTTTTAGTGTACAGTTCCCTGTTCGTTTGCCCCATGTAAACCTTAGCGCAATCGTTGCATTTAATTTTACACACAATCTCTAGTCTTTCCAACCGAGAAGAGATCCTTTAAGTGCACGCAAATTAAGTGTGGCGTTTTTCCACTCTGCAACGCTATTCGAATGTCGGCTATATCTTCAGATAACCTCCGATGCCTTATATGGAAAAAATTGACGTACCATCTTCTAATGATAGTAGAAAGGGGATCCTAACTTAAACCAAATTGCCACATACATGTACACGGACGAACTTGAGATTGACCATTCCTTGAGGTGTAGATAGGACATACGTGCGTGTGTATCTCTGTGTTCATTGTATGTCTTCAGTACTGAGGGGGCAACTCGGGTGCCACTAAGGAGCGCGTGGTGTTGCACACGCGAGAAAGTTTCCATCTATCAGAGCAGCCTGATTTCACATCGACAAACAATAATATTACCATTGAGACACCTTGAAACTGTTTGCCGAAATTGTGTACCATTCTTTTCTGAGAAGGTGGCTCCAGTACACTTTGAAATTACTTTCAGGACATCTTTAAAATAACCTCAGTGCTGCCTAGGGTGACTTTGAGACGTTTGTGCCGCTTTCAGATTTGATTTGACTCCAGGAAAACACTCGTTGACCAGTAGTAGAGCTGGCGAACTACAGAATGTGAGGGTTATGCAATAATGCTTTAGCAAACATTGCCAACAGCCTATGGAACCGTGAATTGGCCTGAACATCGTCGTCATCGCAGTGGCACATCTCACAATCACCACAGCCGTCACATTTGCATGGCATTTTATTGATATTATACGATCTAGCTAAAGCGCCCAAATATTGGTAGCTTGGTTGGGTTAATTGGCTGTTGACCATCTGTCCGCCTATCTTTGCAGTTGACTTGCGCGCGTTTCGTCGCCATCTGGAGAGACATCGTCGGTGCCTGGTTGATGATGCTGACGACGTGCGCACTGACGAGGTCTGGTCGCGTGGTGATAAAACGTTTGCTAGCCAATTTCTAAGCTCGGTGGACAGACCGAGAGATGGTCAGTGTATGACCTGGCAATTAAGTATGAAAACGCTAACCAGTAGACTTATTCGGGTCGGCAATCGTTAACTCCTCGAATGGAGACCACGGGACTCAACTCATCAATAAGCGCATTCACTGGTACTCGTGTATCGCCTTCAGTGCGTAGCTGCTCAGTTCCCGAACTAACCATCGCTTCCAAGGCTTTTCTGCATGTCCCACACTCTCCCACCTTTCGGTGATCGAAATTGTAATAGCTTTAAACAGCGTGCCTATGGTACACAGTTTATAGCTGACAAATTGAATTGACTAATCGATTGGTATTGGCTCGTCAGCACTAAATAATATAATATAATAGCTCCTGTATAAGACGGTTCGGTTGTCCATAACCTCAGAATTCCACTTCAAGTGGGATGAGTTGTCTGCTTGAACAACTGAACGTCTACTATCAGCACTAAAAAAGGCGTACGGTGCTCCGGAGATCCGGGTCCTAAACCTGACCCAGGAGGTCACCACTACCTTCAGTTAAATAAGACGAAACCTGTTGAGTCCAAATCCCACCACGTACATCAGTTCACAGGTAACTGCAGAGAAAGTCACACAGGCAGAACCGATATGCGCCTCAATACAATAAGAAGCAATCGTGTTCCTCACCGTGTCCAGAACCTAATAAGGAATAATACCTGGTCGTAAGCTACCGCAGTCAGCGATTCTCAGATTTGTTTGGTCGCAGATCACCAAGTTGATTTGACCTCATCGTCTACTATCTCGCTCAGCCACCCGAACTCACGTGTTCTCACATTCCCTGCAATCAATGGTTTCGAACCTTCGCAACATATCCGAAACTTGATAAAACTTTGATGTTGCCCATAACTTACAATTTAAAATTTTTCTAGTGACCGATGACTCACATCCTGGTCAAGACTACATAAACTTCTCTTGTTGGATGGTTATAGGGTACTGGCAAATCGATACCAAATGCGTACACCAACCAGTCTCAGTCTTCCGGCTGTGATGTAAAACCTTCTGAAAAGACATGACTGCTTTAAATATCGCAATTTTCCAACCAAGTGGTCTCACTCCTAGCATTGGAAAGAATGTTATGAAACCCGTACTGTTATTGGATTGCGCTTACAACGCAGTCAGGAGTGACTTTTCTTCATTTCTTATTCGGACTGTATTGTTTTGGCCAGCAAAACGTTTTTGCGATGTACTCGTAGTGCGAGGAAGATTGAGAACCCCTGACCTGTTGGTTATGTCCATCCTTTTCTTAGGTCATCCGATCGGATGACTTTGATTACTACTGGCCGTCGCTAGAGTGCTTATATGCACCGCTTAGCTTCGTTTGGCACGATCAACTTCTACGTACCTTCCGTAATTGATTTCTTATGGTCCACCACTCCTAATCGACAGCTGTTGAGAAACTGGTGATAATAATTGCATCATCTCTTTACGCGTTGCATTCATGTTCCTCAACTTGCTTTCTCTCTCTGCTGTTTGTCATTTTCATCCAGCTGTCCCTGTGTCAAGAACGAAGTGTAGAACTGCGAAAATTGCCGGAAGAACCTTTGGGCGTAACTGTAGCCGGTGGAAGGCATTCTCAGCGTGGAGACACACCTGTGTACGTCACAAATATCAGTCCAGATTGTGTGCTGGGACGAAACCAGTTGGTGAGTGTCGAATCCCACCTTACCTGTTTGTTTGATCTGCTTCGCTGGTTTGTCTGATTCCTCTGTCACCGTTTGAACTCGCACGGCCGGATAACAAAAGTTCAGTCAGTTGAAACATTTTTCAATTCAGCGATCATTGAGACCATCCGTTTTGGGACCTCACACATTTTCCCTGGATTTTTGGTGAAGAAATGTTGAACCAGTGGACACGATCATATTGGTGAAACAGTAATGTGGCTGTCACTTCACGACTGTTGAGAGCACTTTCCGAGTGACAGCCAAGCATACAGAATAGGACCGATTATATGTATAGACGTGGTACAAAACTCATAAGGTTGCTGAAGACTCTTTAACAGTCCACGACTGGTTTCACCCTTCTTGGACGATACATTTAGCTGGGTTCCAAGTGAATCTTCCGTCAAAACCAAATTGATATGCAACGGAGTGTATTTATCGAGGACGGATTACAGTTGCTTGATCTGGGTACCTGATATGCGGTTAAACTCGCCAATAAGGCGCACTTATCAGGAGAGCCAAAAATGCCTTTCCTCCTGCGAATTTGTGTCCAAACACTCAATAGGAAGCATTCTATTTATCCTAAGCATATCTGACGTTACAGCGCAATTATACAAAAATCGTGATGCCTGAGAGATACTGAGGCGGTGCAAGCGTGTTCGATATGTACCCGGTGCACCATCATCATAATGCGTTTTTCAGTATACACATAAACCAGCAATTTTTTCTCAGTCGCGTATGGGCACATGAGTAGGGATGGATGAAAGATGGATACAAGGTGATGGTCCACTATACCTTTGAGACTGCTTTTCGGGACTGTGTTCGCCAGTATATCTCTGATTCATGTCGTGATTTTGACAGTGTTGTTGGTCATCACTGACAGCAATACAATGCAATACATACCGCCGCTTGATTGCCATACTATTTTCAAGAAAAAGGCCTAGGTAATGAGTGAAAAGAAAAGGGGAAGTTTGAAATCTAGTGCAAGTAAAGCCTCTGTCCTTACGGAGGGGAATAGAGAATAAACTGCCTAGACCGTAGAACAGCATTTAAATAAACGTCTCAGCATCTCGTGGGATTAAGCCATCATCGGTGGAATTGACCCAGTGTTCTTCGTGAACCTCACCCGACACAAGCTTAGCATACAGTGGTAGGCGAACTTTAGCTGGGCAATCCAACTAGGAAATGACAACAAATGCACCACTGGGATCAGTTGGGTACCGTGTGCTGCAGGATTTGCAGCCACGTGCGAAGGTCCCACAGCACCTTTGTTTTGCATTGTTTTGGAACAGAAAACAGTGCTTTCTTTGTGGATGGTGGTAGTAGATGGTAGTGTCTTTCCATCCACAACCTGATATTTTTACTTGCCGCATTGACGATTGTGATTCGTCATCAATTATCTACCTACCAATACGTTGTGTACACTCTACAGCTAGATAAATCTCGCTACGAGGCAGGGACACAAATGATCAAGCGTTCGGATCCCTTTAAAGTCCTCAAATCGTACCTTGAATTGAGACTGTTGTTGCAGTTGTCGTTTATATATGATGGAATTCGTTCGGCACGCCATAAATGCCCAAACCCGGCAATTCGTCGGGCCAAATTAAGTTCGGGACCGGTGGGGACATTTCGAGATTCAAACAGTGCTACTTTTCGGTCTGATATCCACTGCTTGAGCGAGCGCCGTCCAACAGGCAAAACTCCAAGAACTGTGCAAAGATATGTCGATCTCATTCCATCATGAAACCACATCTGACGCAGCTGGAAGAGACTAAAAGATGATTCTGATAAATTCGTCTAACTTCCAGATCTGCCGGCCTCTCAATTGTGAAGCAATTTGTCCACGCCGTACACAGTCTTCGAAAACGAAGAATGAAGCAACTCTGGACAAGCGCGTGTTCTGAGTCCAAAAATGTTTTCGAAACTAAACAGCAATCAGTTACTGATCCGTGCCATCGGTAACTGATGGTGATGCGATCAATTTGAGTCTGTAACCGGCACGCTGTTGAAGAACACTATACGGCCAGACCACTTCTGCTATTTCGGAAGTTAGTACTGCGTAAAAACAGCCTGCGGTCAGCACACAGGTGAAGCAATCGTTCACGATCGTCTGTGCGTACCGAGTCCAGTTCGTGTTGACCACCTGATCGAGTCTCAAATGCGCTAAGCCTCTCCACTGGCACATTCAGATTTTCTGTAACCACCACGATATTTGAGCTTTTAACTCGTCATAACGGCGCATTCAAGGCGTCTGAAAACTTATCGTTGATGATGTCAAGATTACAGTCGGTTAGGGCGTAATCAGACAACAAACTGACAGGAGTCAACACCCCCCTTGTGAGACTCCACGGACGCTGCCAGACGAACCACATAGAGGCGACTACCAGCGGGTATCCGCCCCGTGACTTCGGGCGATACCAACCCATACACAGCCACCTGCAGCGGCCTCCGGATCGTCAAAGGTGCACGGCCAGAAGCAAGTGGAGTTAGATTAACCACTGTGGTGGTATTTTGAATATTCGCTTCTGATACACGGCACATTATCAGTGTCAAGCGAGTTCATTGTGAGAGCGAGAGCAGTTTGCTGTCCTCCTGCTTCAGAGTGCGACATTGAAAGCAACCAGAGAGACTTGGCATCGAGGCTTGAACATTGACTTCGAGCTGTCATAGAATATCAGCACCCGATAACGCGCAGATGTTGCTTACAAAACCGATGCAGAACGAACGGAGTTATCAGTCCAACTGCTGGGGTGGTGATAGTGGGGAAGAAAAAGTATGTAGAAGGGGAAGAAGGGAGGCATCAGCAGTAGCCTGTTTTCGCTTACCTGTCCTGCTGCATGCAGTGAGTAAGACTGATGGCACCATGCGACAGCCGATGTGGCATAAACTTATTTGTATGTGTGCAATTCGTGATTGTACATGGGTTGGGATACTATCAGGCCCTCAGATGCAGACAGGAGAACGATTAGGGTCCTCAACCAAAGACTTTGGCTCAAAAGCCTTACCGTAAGGCGTTTGGTGGGAAATGCAGATGAATTATCATTTTTATGGGATGAGTCGTCACACATGCTCTAACCCCGAACCTGGAAGGCCAGGAGACTGTGTTGGTTATACCTCCATCCATTAACCAACCTCGTACGAGAAACTGCGGGTGTCGCACGGACATCCTCAGCTTCACAGGTCACGGAGGTACCCAAAGCGTCATACCATGGGGATGTGCAGTCATTTGGTGACGCTAGGCAGGTTGTGTTCCTCAAGGAGGATTCGGTCTTTGGAGGCATTATGCGCCCAAACTACACTATATATACGACCAAAACATAGAACAATTGTTATAGTTTGGTCGAAGTCACCCATCCAGCGTTAACGTCTATCGAATGACCGATGTTTATGAATATAAGTCACCACTGGGTCTGCGTGTTCTGACCTTTTTGGCCACTGACGTGTGTGTATACTGGTCTCCATCTACACTTCCGCACCGGCAAAACAACTATCCTTCGGACATTGTTTACGGGTTGACCGAAATCAGTGTTTAACTCACTTCCCTAGACCGTAGAATTTGGGACCGATTGTGTTGCACTCAGTGTCGGACTGGTGCATATTTGATGCTCCAATAGTAGATTGCTTTTTCTCGCCTTCTGATCGTCCTAAGGTCAACAGAGAATATGCTTAACAAAGGCTGCATAGTAATGATTCTGTGTACAAGTGTCTAGATTAAGCCGTAGGAAATGTATAGTCTGATGCCCTTGTCACCCCCACTTATTGCCAAGACTAACCAACAAGCATTTACCAGTTTCTGCTTCACGATTTCAACATCATATTTCAGCACACACCAAGCATTCTACAAAACTTCAACTGTGGTGAGTGAACCAACTTGCGGTTGCCTAAGTCCAGTTACCCATCCCTCAAACCCACTTCTTACAAGGTAGTCTCTTGGACGCAATTATTGCTGCTAAACACATCCGAGTGCTGAGACGTCCCCCGGAACGACATTTGAAACTATTCATATTCAATCACTCTAGTCTAGAGACGAATAAACTGTCTCATGCAAAGCCTAATCGAGTTATTTTATTTATACCTTATCCAAATCCGGTTAAAGGACACATCTTTGGGCCAATGTTCAACCAATGCTAATCTCACTAGGCGTGTGAGCCACTCGGCCAGTTCGTTTTCGCTCAGATTGCTAACCTAGTGTGTTATGCCTTTTCCTACGCGCATGCCCGGCACATTCATCAATGAACTGTTATGATCTCCCGTTACACGACTGATAAAAACAAACTCGTACGGTTAATTGATGGATTGCAATGTTGATATGGTCTGGCGGGAGTAAAAACGTAGGACTTGTGTTTCGAACGCCCTCTGTTCTAGAAGTCTTCAACAGAGTGTAGAGCGCGAAAATCCTCTACATTCGCCGTTTTTTCTCTAATACTTCTCCATTTTCGCTCAGTCTGGACACTTCAAAGTCGGAGGCGGACGGAAAAACTGTTGTCAGATTCGGCACCAAATTATGAATACTTTATGATCAAAGTTGATTCGAGGATCAGAAATCTCGCATGAGCCACCGCGCGATATTGAAGATATGGTTAAAACATAACTGCTAGTAATTTTCTCCCAGTTAAAACAAAGGAGAGATCATGAAAGGATCGATAAGTGTCACCTTTGGTTTGGGTGATACTCACCATGTCATCGTCACCAGAGCCAGCCACACAACTACAGCGGTAAGCTCATGTCAGTTTCTGTAAATATAGCCGTACGGCGAAAAGAGGAATACGGTGGAAGAGGAGGAGAAAAACCACTACCAGCTTATTGCACACCCGGGATACCAACATTAGTAAGACACTTTTAGTGGTGAGGTTAGTTGGTCGTTGGCTTGTTCGCCGAGCTGGGTAGTGTGATTGGAAACGTTGCATCACCAATCGAGGTGACAATCATTAGTGCGTATTTGGGGAGTGTATTGGTGCGAAGCGGTGGGTTAGTGGTTGTGCTCAGCTCGGCGAACAAGCCAACGGCCATCTACGCTACCTGAGCTACCAACACTTTCCTTTGTAGAAAGCCGGTACCAGCTTATGGCACACCCGGGATACCAACGCCAGTAAGACATCCTTAGTGGAAACGGACAGCACAAAGAACAGTGTCGTCGGTTTGTGGTCATATCTTGATAAGTCTCCACGGTGAAGCTCTGTGCTGAAGGCGGATCGTACCAACAATACCCAAACTCTTTGTAATTGTTTTCATTCACTTTCTCCCACCCGAAATTGTCCACCTATCAGTTTAGGTTGCTCTAAATTAGTGTTGAAAGCAGCGCTTTTCTAGGCAAAAATTCGCTGTTGTTCAAATTCCCAACGCCAAACGACTCATCGTTATCAATCTTCGGAGGAGAGTATTGGTTAACTTAGGTAAAAGGCTGGGGGCTAACAAGTTATGACAATTCCAGAACAGTTCCTGACTACTCGCCGAACCAAATGACCAGTCCATCCACCAACCTGAAGAAGTTACCGTGCCAGCATCGACAGGACGAAGAAACTACTCCGACTCAACTCAAAACGAGTGCTTGATAGCGCAAGGGGTAAAGCGGCAAATCCCGTGGACAGATGAATATGGAGTTACGGGAAAGATGCAACCTGAAAGATCCGAATTGAGTAATACATGCACCATGGATATTCGAAATCACAGTCACCGCTACTGTGTGCTAGCGTAGAGTCACTTCAGATGACGAAGAGATAAAGATGTTATGACTACCTTCGTCGGTTTCTTTCTCTTTTACGTAGCTGGTGGCTGTGCCATTCGAATATGATAATACATTCATACTTGACAAAATCGCGGCTCTAGTTCAGGGACATTCAGTCATTTATTGATCATATGGCATCCAGGATCTCAAACAAGACCAAATGAGAGTGCGCTTATAGTTTGCCTCTAACTATTGAGCCTGTTTATCCCCCCAAAGCGTTGTCCACTGATGCCAACCTGATTTCGCTTCAAAAGAGCTTCGCACACCCGAGGCTTATCAAGCCCTTCAATTTCTTGCTTATCACCCAAATGTTCCATGCATTTTCAATCTTAGGAAGCGCATGATCTATCTCCCAAGATTGAGATGCTTAGACTGAAGAGCTGAACTATTCCGATCCGGCCGTTTCATAAAATGTTTGCGCGCTATCTGAAATAAAGTGCGGAAATCCATAGACGGCACAAATCTGCTCAGCTCAAACATCTAAGTCAGGCATCCGTACGGTTAAGTTCATCTTATATATACGAAGAACTGGAATGGTTATTGCACTCATCGACACAACGGATGTAGTGTGGATCTCTTTATTGGATTAACAAGGTCAAATTGCCACTGGGGAACTAGACCCCAGTAGTACTTATCCACACTAGAATATCATTTACCCATCTGGGTGAACTGATCGTCTGTCAATCGGTTTTACCATGGAATAACGGTACTCTGTGCAATATCACATATTTGCATTCACCAGGCACTACTTATCTGATTTCAGGTCAAACGTGGAGATGTTATTCTCGAAGTGAATGGCGTGGGTCTAGTGGGTCTCACTCACGGTGAAGCCGTTGACGTTCTCAGGCGAGCCAGCCATATGCAATCACGCGTTTTACTGAGGCTTATCGATGCACCGGAGACCAACAACAATCCTGGAAATTTTATGCCGTCTTGGACCTTTTGGCTGCAGCTCCCACCAATCTGCCAACTGACGCGCGTGATTCACCTACAGCGCGGCACGACTGCTCCTTCCAGTGGCAGCTCGTCCTCCTCCTCCTCTGGATTGGAACCACTCGGTTTTAGTATTCTGGGTGGGATCGAAGAAGGCAGTGGGTGCTCCGACGGGAAGCTTCCCACTTCAAAACATCAACAGCAATCAACATGGGAACGGCAGAAAATCAGCTATACTGACCTGTATCCTAGCCCGATTGTCATCAAGTCCATCGTTCCGGGACTCCTGGCCCATCGCGATGGTCGACTGAAGTAAGTGTGTTATGTGTGTCCCGTTTCTATCCGTCTCACAGGTATAACGGAGTGTGACTGCAATAACAAAGGCAGTCGGTACTTCCATACGTCCAACTGACGCTCCCGTTCAAAGAAGTATCCCCGTATGAAATGGCCAAAAACAACAGCCTGCAGGATTATGTTTTCTTGGTGAATACATTCAGTACTGTCCGGGTTTAAGCGATAACGGATAAACTGCCAAGACTTAGTTGCCGAGTTTGCTCACCGAACTGGGCTCACTGCCCTGTTTGTGAGTCAGCGGGCATTCCGGATTTGGATTCCAAGGCATTAAGCTCGATGCACGAACCTACTGATTAAAAAGTTCGTGATTCGAACTAACCCGGGCATTCCGACTACTCCCGTATAAGCTGGATTAAGCTGGCCGTATCTCTGCCTTCGTGCATCTTTTAGGTGATATGGTAGCTAGTCACCGAAAGAATGCTACACACGAACGGTATATTCCAAGGCGTTATGCGTCATCTGACGATATAAGCTCGAATATGCTAATGTCCCCGTTATCCTCTTCGGTTTTTATTCTACTTCTTTTCGTACCAGTGACACATTTAGAATTTTCAATCGTCTTCAGCGCGAGCCGTCCGCTCCCAATCATCTATTACTGCTTATGTTCCAATCAGTGGCAGACTCCAGAGGATAAAGCTAGTGCAGCTGGCATCCAAGTTACACCTGACGAACTGAACGTAGCTGGTAAACGGAATCTTAAAGAGCTACGCAAGACTTCGTGTCCGGTACCTTGTCCGTTGAATCGATGCTTCACTAAACCAAATAGCGGGATGTTTGACTCGTGATTTTACAGAATGCGTGGGACAAACTGGAACAACAGAACACACCTAAGCAGACATCTACCCACGCGAGGCAATCAAATACGCCCACGGTGTAAACACGCTGCAAAGACCAAGGGAATAAATTATTACGAAGCTGAAGGAATACAGTGCCCATAAATATGTTGAAATTTTCGGCAGCTCACGACCAGCTCTTCGGATAGACGCAGTCCTTGAGCTTCCGTTAACTTTATATTACACTCTTACTCACATACTCAGAAGTATATGACCTCACGCGAAATACGTTCATCTGCAGAATCCCTCGTTTTATAGTGTTCTTCGAATGGACTGACTGCACAAAGGTCGCCTCATGTTTCCATTGATGCAACAGAGATTCGCGCTGCATTGTCTTGACAGAACGCTACTCATATTTTCGGAAAACTCTTCAACAGCCCTTTCTTCGGGCTCATCAGGTAATCTCAGCACTCGAGTTTCCGGAAACTTATGTTCAACTTGAACCCAAGCTGCATGCAATTTGTGAAATACCCATGTGCAAGCCAATTCGTTTCAACGGAATCGCGCCAACCGGATGAACCGGTTGTTGGCTGTCGAAGCGTTTTAAGCTATCTTTGAGCAGTATTTCGTCGAAAAATGCAGTACTTGCTCTTATCCTGTCCCAAAAATGAAAGCTAGCAGGCACGCTAGGTACCAAGGTCAACTCATGGTGCAATTTGTGTAGGTTTTTACTTGCCTCCTGTTGATGACACCACGACAACTGTCATCATGTGATCTGTTTTGTTCTCTGAAATCAGGTGTGGTGACCTCATCCTGGCCGTGAACGACGTCTCCATGTTAAATGTGTCTCACGAGACTGCTGTGCGTGCGCTTAAGCGGCTACGCGGAGATGTTGCCTTGAGGATCATATCATGGCCCGGGACAATTGTGTGAAACGCTATCCTGAAGTTTGTGAACCTCACCAACACTTCACGCGTCACCTGTCTAAGCAACAGCGACGGCGTCTACTACGGCGAAGAAATACAAACTGTATGATTTATAACTTTTCTTATCATCACTGACTATCCATTCTATTGAGACCGTGTCGATCGACCGACCGAATTTTATCGTCTTCCAGCAACCAACCACGATTGTGCGCTTCAACCAAATACTTGTTCCCCAAATACAGAGCTTTCACTTGTACATTTGAACTTGTAAATTTGGAGCAGAAAATTAGTTATATTAATAAGAACAAATCACAGTGAGTGGGGGTGGTAGTGGTGGGGCAAATGACATAGGATTCATCTGGATCCGCTGGCCGTCGGCGTTGAAGCATTCCTTGCGTCCGTTCCAAGCTGAGAAATACGTCGCTGACCATCCAGAGCGACTAGTCTAGCGATGATCCACTTCATATTCAGTAACATTCCTTTAAGGGCCTTGGTCCAATTCTCCTCGCTGTTTCCACTCCATCTGTGAAGAAGACATATTTTCAGGAATGGTCAGGGTATGGCACCAATAAATCATGTGTGTAGAGATGGTAATAACGGTTATAATAACACCCGGTCAGTGTTTTGAGGCAATACCGAACCGATTTCGCCCAGCTTTGGTACGATCAGTCTTCGGAATTTCTGTGCCGAAAGTACACTATGGTGATCGGAGACCTGTTTTACTTGAACGCGAATTGTACGTGATTCGCGAATCCTTCATCTATGATCTGCTCAACTAAATGTGCTGCACAAGGGCTGCCTCATATGTTTCACTTAGTATGGTACTCAAACGAATCTGACGCGTCAAACTGTTTGTACGCCTTCTATCCTGATAAACATAAGAGGGTCAGTGACCATTGTAGGCTGTTCACACAGTCCACGATACGAAAGTTATTGGGTACTTGCGGTGTTTTTCAGGAAAACAGCAACCACTGCACCTTGGTAGCATAGCTGCTGTCTGCATATGGAGGCATACTAGCGACGAGTGGCTTATCCTGACCCAAAATCGCGTGAAAAACGAAAGACCGTTAGTCCACAACAAACGAGGGATGCACCGGGTGACATGCGGCTTTGCCACATCCTGCGCACTCCTGTATCAAGATACCGGGACTTGGAGCTAATGACCCGTAAGTGTGGTCTACTGTCCATTGTTGGCGAACCACCTGTTTTCATGCAGACAGCTCGCTGTCAAGAAACATTAGGTTCCCCTCTGAGCATCATTTCACACGGCCCTTCACGTACACGGTGATTGGGGGAGTTGAGAATGGTGGTGGCTCGAACACTGCAACCATCGACAACCTAAACAAATCATAACGACCATATTGTGTAATTGAGCGGGCAGATGGTATCAGAACCCCGGGATCGCTATCTCCTCGATGGCATGTGCAGTGAAGTACGTTGTGCTCACGCGAATCCGCCAGTCTAGCTTGTAGACAACAGCTACGAGTTGGAAAAGTGGAATTATCAACCTTCCTGGAGCTATGCGACTGTAGATGCAACCTGTGTCGTCCCAAACGTACAAATGTTCATACTCAATTCGTTTTGAAAGATCGATTCTATGCGGGACAGTTCAAACAAGAAAGTAAATAAGAAAGTAATAAGAAAGTAAATAAAATAAGTTTGGGGAGTGTTTGTGAAAAAAATTAGTCAGTTCCCCTTAAAGGAATCCTTGCACTATTTTGGTCGGTTCCGTGAGTCTTCTCTCCAGAGAGGAATCACCACCATAGCTAAGCACATCAGAACCAGGGATTGATACGTCCACGGTTTCTGGTCAGCTTATTAATAATTCATCACATGGAAATTCACTGTTTTTTTCGACATTAACTCAGTTTTCGAATTTCGCTGAGCTGTTTTTAATCCGACAAAAGTTGTCAAATTTGCGTACCTTGAGAGGCAATCTTGGTGCAACTTGACCTTTGAGCGTTTCCTCATGTGAATTAGTTGTTCTTATTGGAACTCACCAGTGGAAACAGCTGGAAATCATAATCTCGCATGGGAATTTCTCTCTAGGAGAAATCACCAGAAGAATAGGCGGCAAAACAAGGTTAAGGTCAACTTGACCTTTAAAATGTGAGACACTTACGTAACTGACGACCGCTCGAACAAAGACGCAGAACCTGACTGCTAAAGGCTAATGCAATTGGGGCCTTCGGCTATTTTCGGAGGCGCAGCCGGATTCGCACCGCTCGGAACCAAAGCTGGTGCAGAATCCAGGAAGGGGTGAGCGAAAAACAGCCCTTGCAACGGATAATGGTTTACCTTGTCAGCACGTTGATATATATATATATATATATATATATATATGGCTATTTGGGGAGAAAGATGATGGTTTGAGTGTCTACACCCCCAACGAAGTATCTGGATGGGTGAACACCACTAGCAAGAGAGGCAATTTGAGGAGAGACAGATAGTGGCGGACACGATGTAAACTCACTTGATCGAATACGTTCGCCTTTCCTCAGGGTCGTGTATTTTACCACCATCCTGGATTAAATAGGGCATCCTGCTTTGTGTCATTGTCTCGACGACTTTCTCCACTTGATGAAGGCACTTTAGGAAAATGCACATGGCATTATCAAACCTGAAAATAAAGGTGAAGAACAGTGACGATGAGAAATATCGGAGCAACACGACCTAAGTGCCTATCTCAGGTACTCAACCACCAGTAGTTCTATAACCAGGAAATCTGCGGTGCTCGCTTCACTCATGTGAACAGCCTTGAGGATACTTCAATTGTCGATTATGTTAGACAGCCAACCTTCGTCCCATTTATAAGGTTACGGGGGAGGGGTATCACTTCCTGGGTTGTCGAATTTGGCCATATGATCAGTTCATTTTAGCGGGCGCGTGGTTCTGAGATAGCCACACAGATTAAAAATAAAAGAATGACACCAACAGGATGTATAGCATGTTGCACTGAAGCATACCCACTGAAAAGAATGCAAAATAATGCCATTTGTGCGGAATTAGCCAAAAAATCGTTTCTCACTTATGGCGTCAGCAAGCAGCTCCAACCTTGCATAGTGGATAAATTGCTTTCGAACACTCCACATTACACCTCTTTACTAGCAACGTTTTGGGACTTCCACACTGCTAGCAAGATATGCGAGTACCTATCAACTGTAGTATAATATCAGCAGAGAGATACGCATCATTACCCTGGGTTGGTATGGGTCGAGTTGACAAAATATTGTCTTTGGCAAGTCATGCGAGTTAGGAATTCTCCGCCACCCGCGTTTCATCGCTCCTGAGGGCTTCCTATTTCTCGCAGTCTCGGCCGAACCAAGACATCGGCAACGCGGATTTGTTTGCAGTTACATGGAGCCAAATCTGGCTAGCGACTAAGCCGACGTCCCATAGGAACCCATAACAGTATTGCACAGTACACAAGTTCCACTGGCAAACAGTAAGAATGAAGGATATCAACCTCCCATGATTTTCTCAGCTATAACACATAATAGCCTTCACTCGAACTTCTGTCAAACAGTTTTGGCTTGGATTTTGTGTCGATCAATAAATTACGCTTCGTGTACAACTGCATTCCAGTGTTCAGATCACTCACGGACTTGATCGGCTGTATTGTGCATGCAATAAGAAGACACAAACATGACCCAGAGCCTGTCTGACATCAAACCACTTGTCCTGAAAAATGCGTCAAGCCAATACTTTGCTTTCTTTTCCGCGTGCACAAACTAACAGGTTAGACTGGCTCAGGTAAAGGGGCTGTTGCCTAAACAGGTGGTTTCCGATCGCTAAGCCATTTTGAATCGGTAAAAGGATAATTAATCTTAGCTGGACAGTAGCGAAAGGTGACCATAACTGGAAGAAAAACAATTGGTCGCATTGTTGTACCGTCGATGATGACAAAGTTCACAAGCCAGTAAGCTGAGTAAACCCAAAAATTTTCTGGCTGTTATATCTCCGTCCCGTTGAGCACATAAAACACCTATCAGGTGCCAGCGGTCGAGCCCCGACACTGCTGATCTGAGTATCCAACTGTACACGCATGTATGGATATCCAAGGTAAGCTGGCACACTGTGCGACTGACCCTTGACTCTAATCCCTCTGCCTGAGGATTCGTCACTCGAGCAGTCCAGTCAACTCATGACCCCGTGAGATGAATTGTGCGATGGGAAGCGCTTTATCCCGTCCACACTACTGACCAACCATCCGTGGCGCAGCTGCGTACTGCTGAGCTACTAACGCGGAGATCGCAGGTCCAAATCTCCCTAGAGGTCCGTCACACACTGCTGATAATCCATAAGAAGGACAAAACACCCGTACAATGCTTCTCGGCTTTTCAGCACAGACCAACTTCGCTTGTGTGATGAAATTTCTATTTGAAATTCCTCCCTGCTACCAGCAAACCTTGGGGATATTTTCGGTGGTCAACCACGGCTCATCGTAAAGCACCAAATTTAAACAGTCACGTTCTGCTGATGAGAAAGAAAAGCGTTCAGCTGTAGCATCCTTCCGGTGCCTAGCTGCCATGCCACCCGAAGGAAGCACGAGGGCTGGGATAATGCCAGGTTGCCCAAGCCTAGACATCGGAAGTCGAGAGGCGGAGGTCGGATTCGAACCACGGACCTTTCGGTCAGTAAATTCGCGCTCTAACCACTTGGGCCATCTCACCCCTTGTTGATGAGAAAAATGCTAGTGTGTCAGTGTTTTACCTAGAAATGACGAAAGGCAAACAATAAACCATTCCAATGGCTTACAGATCCCGGCGGTCAGCGAGTTCCTTCTGTATCCTCTGGCACAATTATTTTCGCTGGACACGTTGCCCCGTTTCATGTGGTCGAAGACTATACTGTGACTAGGTTTTGTCGTTCCAGCTATTCACTTTTGATTAGTTCCCAATCATCCACTGTTAGGCAGGAATCCACGCGGAT